CATATTATATTAACATCTAACAGAAATAAAGTACTGACCAATTTTTATAAAATATTGTTTTACAATAATTTCTTATTAATTGATATATTCAAAAAAAGTTTATCTTAGTTTATATAGAATATATCAGAGTGGGTAATTTGAATTAAACTATACTAGTTATATTTAGTTTAACATCAAAATGTAATTCCTATTTTTAAATGTAAGTCTATTTAATATAAAACACAAATAAATTAAAGTATAAAATAATTTAATGCAATGTTAGTTAACTTATTTAAACTGAAGATTTATAGTAAGATTTTTATTATTTAAAAATACAGATTTAGAAAAATATTCATTACAAATGCCATTCTTTAATTATATTTTTTTTTATTTTGCATATATGATAATGGTAAATGCTAACTAACATATTATTTTAATAATAAATATTAGAATTCTGAATTTAAAAAAAAATATGATTTTTCTAAATAAAAAATTATTATATCATTAAAATATTTATTGCTGACCATTTTATTTATTGTCATTTAAATTCTATAATCCAAGTTATTTAAAAAAATAAAAATGAAGGTAAAATTGTTTCTATTAAGCTTTTTTATTTATTCTATTTATATAATAAAAGATTTTCATCTATCATCATATAGCTTTTTAGTTATCTATTAAATGGTTCGGGAAAAGTCAAATCCTTTGCGTTCCTTTTTAAATTAGATATCATAAAAAATCAATCTATTTGTAAAATAGAAGATTGTGGTAAGATCTTAACTGGAGACCATGCTGCAAATCTTGAACGACATATAGAAAGATTCCACAATAGGGAATTCAAATTATTAAGAAAAAAGAAAGAAAATTTGACTATTAAAAAAATTCAAATAACGAAAACTGCAAACCAGTATAATACAATCCAAGATGCTTTTAAGTCCAACACTACTACAATACAAATCAATATAAATAAAGAAACTTTAATCCGCTCCTGCACCGAGCTAATAACAGTTCACGGTAGGCCAAATTGACGACAAAGCATTTCGAAATATTATAGATCCAATAATTATAGGATTGGGTGGAAATTTAACTATCAATTCGGAAAATATACGCAATAATATTAAAAAAATGGCGTTAGATTTTTCGGAAAATATAAAAAAGGAAGTGTATCAAAAACTTATTTCGTTAAAATTAGATATAGCAACTAGATATGATAGGTCCATATTGGGGATCAATATTTAATTTATAAATAACGGAAAAATAAAATTAAGGACTCTATGCATGAAAGTGATTAAAGAACGACACACATCAGAATATCTTAAAAAAACTATTCTAGATGTTTTAAAATAATATGAAATAAAAATTGAGCAGATTTACACAATAACCACCGATAATGCAGCAAATATGATTAAGTTAATTAAGATATTAATACTACACGATGAAGAAGATGATGACCTTAACGATTATTTAATTAATGATGATTTAAATAATAATGATATAGATAATGATGATTTAAATAATAATGATATAATTCATGATGAAAATAAAGAACCTTTTAATATTGAAAATATTAATCTTGCATCAAATGCCAGACCCATATTAATAGGTGTTAGATGTGCTTCACATACATTTCAATTAGCAAATAATGATTGCATTAAAAATTCAAATGAAATTGTCATTATAAATAAAGCAAGAAACATCTGCAAAAAAATAAGAAATCAGACAACAATGGCTATTCTCTCAAAATTAAATTTGAAAAAACCACTAATAGATTGTTGCACAAGATGGAACTCTATCTATTTAATGTTGGAGAGATTACTAGAGTTAAAAAGCTTTTGCCAAGAAATATCGCTCCAAAGCGATCAAAAATGTTTATCAGAGAATGAATGGGAAATAATTAGTGACATATTAAAAGCTTTATATCCAGCTTATGTTTTGACAAAATATTTACAAAGTGAACAATTGACAATGGGCGATTTTTATGCTGCGTGGATCAAATGTCTCATGCAAACGAGTAAAGTAGACACTCCATTTGCCAGACTTTTAGTTACTACGATGAAAGCATGAGAAATAAATTTTAAAAATGAAGTTTTTTGCTCTGCTATTTATCTCGACCCTAGATATAATGTATTTTTAACTTTTGAAGAAAGAGAGATCGCCAGAAAACATCTTTGTAAAAATTGGAACTTGACACAAAATCTAAATAATCAGAATATTGAAATTCTAAATACTATGCCTACGTGTTCGTATTCGAAGGATAATTTAGATGATGATTTTGAAGATTTATTAAAGTCGCATGAAAGTCTTAATAAGAATAATTCTCAGGGCATCGAAAATTATAATAAATGTATAGAAATAGAATATATAATTCGGTCATTTGATAATAAAGAGAGATTAGAAAAAGATACTAATCTTTTGAATTATTGGGAAAATGTAAAGAATAGTATGCCAGAACTTTATAAGTTAGCTATAACTGTGCTAGCAGTTCCAGCTACGCAGGTCTCCGTAGAAAGAGCATTTTCAAGCCTTAAGTTTATACTCTCTGCGCAGAGAACTAAATTATATCCTGAAATATTAGAAAATATTTTAGTTATCCGTTCGAATTCTCTTTTTAAACCTAAATAGTATAGTATACATATTATTTTATTGATTATTGTATTTACGCATGTTTGTTTTTATCTTATTTATTTATGAAATAAAAAAAACTAATTTGTCTAATTTATATTTCCTAAATTTAATAAAAATATCTATTAGATTATCATGGATAAATTAAATAAGAAATTATAAACTAAAAAGATTTTTCTCTAAAATTAATATATACATTGTTAATGATTAATTTTTTTTTAAAATTAAATTTATAAAAACCGGAACAAACCGAAAAGAACCGTTATAAATTATAAACCGAACCGAACCGATATGATTTTTTTTTAAAAACCGAAATGGAACAAAACCTTTATAAAATTTTAAACTAAAAACCGGAACGAACCGAACCGTTATACTAAACGGTTCGAAACCCTGGGTGGTGGTTATGATGATCAAAATTAACGATTTTTTAAATATATATATTATAAATTGTGAAAGTGTGATTGTCACAGTGTGATAAGGCTTTTATATATATTATAGATTTACTTTTTATAATTGGATAGTATGTTTCTGGATTGTTGGTTTAGGGATAGTAGAGATTACCGTTCGAAAATTTTTTATTTTTAGGATATCATTGCTAGAAATTTGATGTGGCCTAATCTAAATTTTTGAGGGTTTAGAGATACATAAATTTTATTTGGTTTATAGGAAGGAGAATACATTATCCCTTTGTTACCTTGCGGAGGTTAGGATTTGTCGTTTTATAAAATCAAATTATCCCCCCCCCCTCCCAATCTCCTGAGATCCCAATAAATTAACTACTTCATATCACCTCCCACCTTGTTAGAAAGTCTTGGAGTCGAGCTAACAGGCCCGACTAATTCAAAGACTTAGTCGTAAAAATCTGGGTTGATTTAATTCGAATAGTTAGATTTTTACATATAATTCCTCAAAATGCCTTACTAATCAACAACACATGGTGATATGAATCGCTTTAATTTTTTCTCTCCAGAAATTTTGCTAAATTCAAATTGAATCGATTTATTAAGCCGAATTTTAGAACATGACATTGCCAACCTTAAAATATATTAAAAATCATGTTTTCTTAATTTGTGAAAAATAAAAATAAAAAGATTTTTTTTAAAATTTGATAAATATAATCTCTTATCATCACATTTTTTTTTAAAAATGAACAAAAAAAAGCCCAAAGGAAAATAAAATTAATTAAAAATGGATAAAAAGAAAAATTAATTTGAATTTATATAAACGTTATATTTAATTCGATAATTTACTTTTCGACGGTTTTATCTAACTGTCCGGGGGTATCAAATATGCTAATAATTTTTTTTTACAATATATGAAATCAATCAAATATATTGAAGCCATTAAAATAACGCGAGTAGTTTGATGGGACACAAAAATTTTAAAACGGTTATATTTCACATTAAATTCTTAAATTATCGTATTTAAGTTAACCTTAAATATAAAATATTTATTTTATATTGAATAAATATTTTAGAGAGAATTTTTTTATAAGGATTGTTCAAAAATAAAAAAAATTTAGCTTTTTAAATTATTTATAATTCTATATTATAAAATATATTTAAGACATTCTGTATTTAGAGATTTTTCAAATTATTATATATATTTTTTAAATTTATAAGGATTCAAATTGTCATTTTTTGTTTCCATAAAATGTTTGTACATTAAAATCTTTTAATAAAAATACATGAAACATTGCAGAAACGTAATTTAACATGAAAGAGGCACTTGAAAAAAATCAGGTCAAAATTTCAACAGGCTATTTTATAGTAATAATTTAAAATCCCTGAGGTGTTGCTATGCCGCAATATACGACTTAAGGGATAAAAAAATTTAATAATATATTTTAAAACTATTTTTTCTAAAATAAATAAATAAATAATTTAGTATATATTCTGTTAAATATAAATATTCTGAAAAAATGTTGAACCCATTAATTCACCCATCACTAAAATGAATAAATTATAACGTTTCAATAAGATTGGGATCCATGCCATATTACTAAATTAATTTTAAAAAATGTTATAGATATAAATCCTATCTACCAATCTTACAGAAGAAAGAAAGAGACAGACAGATAGACAGATAGACAGATAGATAGATAGATAGATAGATAGATAGATAGATAGATAGATAGATAGATAGATAGATAGATAGATAGATAGATAGATAGATAGATAGATAGATAGATAAATAAATAAATAAATAAATAAATAAATAATGAATGAATGAATGGATGAATGAATGATCACTTAGTAGCTGGATATTGCAATTGTATAATTTTCAATAAGAATTTTTGTCGACTTTAATGTTTAGAAATTGTTTTTATTAACGATTATAATTTACTCAATAACTTAAATCTATAGGCTTAAAATTCGAATTTTTTTTATAAAATCTTTTAGGAAATGTGGTTGTGGTCAGGACCTGAACCAACATTCCGTTAAATGTATGCAAGATTTTGACCACTCTAAATCTGAATATTCTAAATACTATCTCGAAAATGACCCCGAATTCCCAACTCTTGATGCGTACGAAACTAAGAAATCTCCTCATCCGCTAAATTTGCCCCTAAATGATGGCCTAGGAGGTATTAACTCCTGGCATACCCATGTCACAGCCCCCAAATCTCCGCCTGAATTATTGTGGAACCCCATTGTGCACACATCGACGTTACACACTAACGCCTTTGGGACCATCGAATTTCAGGGGATATCTCATCGTCACAATGCTCAAGTTAGAAGTTATACTTTCCCTATAAACTAAGTGATACACCTCTTATACTTTTAATTTTAGCACCGATCCCAGCGGCCTTTTACTCAAAGACACTCAATATAATTAATAAATATATAAGAATTTTCTTAAATTTATATACGAACTCAAAAGTATATAAGGTTGTCTTATGATACACCGCCCGAATCAATAGCTCAACTCATGATATCTCATTGGGGCATCGAGTTCCCCAAATTACTCATATCAATTCACGGCGGGCTATCGAATTTTGAATTGAGCCCCAAGCTGTCCAATTTATTTCAAAAAGGATTAGTTAAAGCGGCCAAAACTACAGTTACTTGGATGCTTACGACAGGATTAAATACCGGTAAATTCAGTTCTCTTAAATAATAAGCTAATCAAGATTTACAATATTTATATGTAATTTTGGACATACCTAACACTTTCTAAAATAAGAATCCTTAATTCATACTAACTTATGGCCCGGGTACAATGATCGTACATCTCTGACATAAATCTTAATTTGAATTAAATATTTGTAACGATTTTATATAATATAAACTTTTTGGGGATATTTTTTTTATAAAAAACGTGACAACCATTTTTGTATTATTCTTGCAATAAGTTTCTCATCTCTCCTAACCCCTTTCCACTGTAATAGCATTCAACTCAATTTTGCGATACCATTTTTTTGAAGGACGTCACATGTGTATAATAATATTCATTTCCTAACGATATAGGGAATATTATTTTATTTGGAATAATATATATATATTTTAATAGAAATAATAATTTAAAACTCAATGTCAACACTAATTAAGTCATTATAATATTAAAGTGGATTTAAATAAATTTTATAAATTATTATATAATATTTTTTTAAAAAAAGGAATTAATATAATTTTTTTTATATTAAATTTTGAATTTTTAAAAATCCGTTAATCTCGATTTTTTATAAGCTTTTTAAACTGCTTAAATGCAATAAAAAAAATTGTGACATCATAATTAACAATTTTTAGTTATTCTTCCATATATTCTTTTTAAAACGCAGGTTATGTAAAATATGTGGGAAATTCCTTAAATGATATGCCTTACAAAAATCGATCTAACCTTGTAACGATTGGAATTGCCCCATGGGGTGTCATTCAAAACAAAGAGGATCTGATTGGGCGAGATGTAAGTTGAATTTAATTATTTCAAGCTTGATACTACGAATTAAAATTTTGATGCACCTGAGGGTAGTCTATGACGTAATTTATGCTCGCGTCATTAGAATGAGAGTGGTTACCTTTGAGGGGGGGGGGGGGGTGCGCCATTGGTTTAGGGAAGGTTTGGATCTAGATTCTCGGGGGAACGTAACTTATTTTTTTTATAATGAATGGATAAAAGATTAATTTAATCTTTGACCAGTTAAAAGAAGTTGAAAATTATATTGCCCAAGTTCGAAAATTGATAATAAATTTTGTTAAACTATGATGATATCGAGAAATAATTTATTTATAAAATGACTGAATATATTTCAAGGTAGCATATTAATTTTTATTATATTCGAATTGGTTTAATTTAAATGAATACGAAGTTTAAAAGTAATATTTAAAATAATAATTGAAAAAAAAATATATACGTAGAGAGTGGTCCAATGCTTTTCTATAATGCCACATTCACCGAACACATTCCCTTTAAATAGCCACCATTCCTATTTTCTGTTAGTTGACGATGGAACCACGGGTAAGTATGGCGCCGAGGTTATATTGCGCCGTAACTTGGAATATTATCTTATGCAAACTAGTAAATAAATTAATCTTAAACTCTTTCAAACATAATTATAGCATATAATATAAAATAATTTAGATGTAAAACAGTTGCGATTTCCCATATGCTGCTCCAATGCTCAAGTGAAAAGTCTCTTGAACCAGTTTTCCTATCATTATAACCTGATAGACTCACACCATTTTGGACCTCACCAGGTGAATCAGGAAGATTGCCCTATTAAAGTGGAGCCAGATACTAAATCGCCTAAAATAAGCAATGATAAAAACGAATCGGCCGAAAAAATCAAATCCAAGAGTGGAATTAACCACGGGTCAAAGGATAAATTATCGCCACATAACTCTCTCTGCCCTTCTCACTACTACCACACGCTACCATTAAAGTTATAATAGAATCGATTAGATTATGTTAATCATTTTATTTAACCAAAACTTATATTATTAAAAAAATTATCGAAAATATTTCACTAAGGTCAAACATTTTAGATATACGTGAAAGAAAGAACGAAAGAAAGTGTAACTCAAATTCATAAGAAAATTGGTTAAATATTAACATAAAGTTATTAGCGATAAGTCAGATTTTTGAAATGGGACCTCCGTAACTTGAGATAAACTCAATGGTTTCATGATATTATCTAACTCTGGGATGGGGGGGGGGGTTAAAACATGGATATATTATATTATTATTTTTCTACTGTTAAAAATATTAGCACTTTGAGACAAAAGAGGCATCCGGTTTTTAGTCACCATCATCGTTTATCGCCAACCCCTCAACCACTTAATTACAAACAATTATATCGTTATAGAGGCAGATCCTCTCATCCTCTGTTCTCTAATAATCAACTCCATAAAGGTTACAATTACCGCGGGGAAGATATGCTAAAACTACAAGACCCTTCTTCGGCTCATCATAAAAGATCACTCATGACCTCTCCCGCCAATAAAAGACATTCCTACCCTGAATCGGGTCGGATGCATACACCCCCGTTTAAGAAAAGTATATATTATATATCATTTTATTTTCAAACATTTCAATGGAGATTTAAAAAGTCCGAAATAATCGGTTGAAGTTTAAATAACTGGCAACATTATCGAAGTGTTTAATGAATAAAATATAAATCAACTTATTATACATTAACATAAACGAAATTGATGTTAGCTCACAGCGTGCATAAATCGATCGATGAAATGGTTCCAATTGTTGGCCTAATATTGAATGGTGGTATAGAGGTGGTGAAAAGAGCTATGGAATATATTTGTGAAAATGTATCTCTTAGCCCCTGCCAAACTCAGATTCATAACCCCCATTTGTACTTACCTTCGATATTAAATAATCAGGTCCATTTAATTAAATATTTCCCACTTTTTTTTTAAAAAAATGCCTGTATATTTATTTATTTTTAGCAATAATTCTCGAATATTTTTCTTGTTACTTGAGATCATTAAAAAAAGGAGTAAATTTTAGAGAATGGTGTTGAAACAAAAAATGAGAATTACGCAAGTTAACTTGACGGGCATTTTTTTAAATATGGATACAATTTTTTTTGTGTGTGTGTGAACAAATAAATGAATATATTCTTATTATATAGTAGAATATTATTTTAAAAAAACAAAATGCGGTGAAAAATAATTAGAAAGATAACTAATTTTTGATAAAACTAGCTTATGCTATAAGGTATTTGAACACCATCTTAATCAGTAATTGAGACATTTTAGGGTGATAGTAAATGTGAACATGATTGAGTGAGTGACGTAGAAAGTAAATCAAACGTCGTAAGTTGTTTTAATTACAATTAATAAAAAATCTTCATGTTCTTTTTCTTTTAAATATTGTACAAATAATTGCTAATATTTTAAAAAAAAATAACATTAGAAAAAGAACTTGAAATCAAACAAAATGCACCATATGAATCATGCAAACTCTCACGGGTCGCGCTTTCATAGCAAATCCCAACAAGTCACGAGCTGCCACTACGATAATTTTTCGGTTCCGATAGTCGTTGTAGAAGGATCTGGAGGTATGGCCGATATCATTTGCTGCGCTTGCAACTTCCACATCGATCCCATGGACAAGTTAGTTATTATATATATGATTTTTTTTCCTCGGCATAATTAAATCTTTTTTTTTATTCATCTTTTCTTATTTTAAATTTCCATTAAAGCCTTATGGAGATGAAAAGCTAATTTTTCTTAACTTATCATTACAAATTATTTAAAAATTGCGAAGCAATAATATTTTATACATCCGACCTTAGTCTTTTCGCCCCGCAAGCTTATTGAGCTTAAATTTAAGATCAGTGATAAATTTAAGATCAGTGATCATTGTTACGTTTTAGAAAAGTCAGAAAACGATGCTTGGCCTGCAAAATTGGAATCAATTCCACGTTAATTTTTTTTCCAAATTTCATATTAAGATTGACTGTATTTACTGCGAATTGTGATTTAAGAATTGGAATTTAGATTAATGACACTAGTTCAGTCCACGAAGTTGAAAACCGAACCTATTATATACTTGAAATTAAACAAATTATTACAACCTAATTATATATTTGTGAATAGAGTTTTTTCTAAAAATTTTCATAATTTAATAAAATGATTGCCATAATATTTTATTTATTTATTAAGCTTTTTTCGAATGTTATTTTTATCTTAATAAATTATTTTTTTAAAAAAATATAGCTCTTTCACTGATGACAACACAAATATTATAGCTAAAATGATCTCTAGCCAATGGTCTATGGACCCCAATTTACTTCAAATCATAATATCTGATATATATGTTTTGGCTAAGAATAAAAAATTGGTAATTTTTTCATTAAAAAATTCACCTGTTGGGGATAGGGTGGGGGGGGGGGAGTTATATATAGAATATATGTCCTGGACAGGGATGTGAACCCTTCGACAAAAAAAGGGTCCGGGTTCGGGTCCAGTAATAGATTTAAAAAGGACCCGGGTCCAGGGTCCGGGTTCAGGGAACATAAAAATAATGACCCAAAATATGACTTTTTTTTCATTCATTTTTTATTATACTTCAATATATACACATTCATAATTCAAAATGAAATAATTTATATTTTAATTATTTTTTTCAATCGCACAATCATGCTATCTTCTAAAATACCATCCTTCAGATTTCTACGTAAATTAGACAAAATATATTTCAACAATGAAAATCCATGTTCTACGCTTACCTAAAATAGATAGTCATTTTATAATACATAAATTATTGTACGTGTCGTCGGTAATGACGATTCTAAACAAGGTATATATTTCTGGATATATTAAAGAATTTTCCTCTCAGAATTTTAAAATATTTGATCTCTATTTATTCTCTTAACTTCTGAGAACTTCTATTAAAGATACAATAGATATTTTTTGCTCCTTTCTATCTTATGATAATTTGATTTTTTTTCTCTATCTAATAGTAAAATTTCCAGTGCATTAATATTGTTATCATTATCATTGTTATCGCTAAAACCTGTAGATATTGTCGTAGCCTCCAATATATTGTAAATAATAGAGTTTAGGGTATGGCATAAATCCTCAAGATGATCTATAGCCATTTGTTTTTGCTCAATACTTAATAAAACCTGATATCGAGGGTCTAAATATATTGAAGCATATACAACACTATTTTCTTGTAAATATTGTTGCTCTCTAATTTTCATATTTTCTAATACTTCATATGAAAAAAAACTTGTAAATCTTTCTAACTCTAGTCCACATCTTATCCATATGCCATAAAAATCCGATAAACATAACTGTTCTGCTTGCAATCTTAATTTAGTTATTTTTAAAGGAACCAACATAGTAAGGTCTTTTATTTGACTCCAATCATCTTCCGACAAAATGACTTCACATGCTCCTATAATAAAATCATTACAGAAATCTTTCAAACTTATTAATCGCTCTAGCATCATACAAATAGAGGACCAACTTGTTGTGCAATCTAATATTGCCATTAGCCTTTTCATATATCTTAATATTCTTACAATTGTGGGAGTTCTTAAATATTTTACAGCATCCCTTGCTTTATCAATAGGTTTAAACTGATTATTTTTTAGGGAATCATTAATAGCCAATTGTAGCGTATGGGCTGCACATCTGATACAGTATATTTTTGTGGAGAAAACTTTTATTATTTCCTGTAAATCAATTAAACTTATGTCCTCATAATTATCATCATCATCATCTATATCATCCATTTCTTCCACTGAACATTCATTTAATAATTTGATTGATTTTACTAGATTAGCACCATTATCCGTAGTAATTGTATAAACGTTTCTTATAGGAATATGAAATTTATTTAATGTTTCTAATATCATTCTTTTTATATTTTCAGAAGTTGAACTCTCTTTAATCTCCTTCATAGCTACTGAATTTTAATTGCTTTTGCTTACACATGTATTTTTTAAGTGATTGATAAACTTAATAGATATAAATAAAAAGTATCTGCTTATAAAAAAAAGGGATTGTCAAAAAATAAAAATTTATATTGAGGATTTTTTTTGGTTTGGTGTATAGTAAATAGATATATAAATAATAAGGTTAAATTATATAAATAATATATTATTATTATACAATTTTAGATTACCATACACAAAAAAACGGGCTCGATGGGTCAAGATTTAGACCAAGATATATTATGCGCTTTGTTAAAAAGTATATTATTTTATATTTTTTTAATCATGCCTTTACTTAACAAAATTCTTTAGTTCATAATAAGAGGCCACTTGATCAGCTACACCTAGCCTTAACGTGGAATAGGGCTGACATCGCCAAGACCGAAATTTTTGTTTACGGTCAACAATGGCCTGTAAGTTATATATGTATAGATTATTCTTTTTTGTTTGATTTCATTGACTATAATTGTTTTTTTTATTCTACCCTCGATGAGGTAGATATTTTTTTGATGCCAACATCTTGCACAAGGTTATTGCTAAAAAGCCATATAGTAAGCGCTAAGGTTTAATGTATATTATGGCTCAATAGCTACCAACTTACCCAACGAAATTTCTTATTTTTAGACCTCCTTTCCTAATTTATTCATAGTAGATAATAGCTCCCTGTATCAAATCAGACCTAATTTTTAATGGGTCCGAATCGGATTCGTTATTTATAAGGATTGATTGGAAAAGGAGGGTCTTCACGCAAAAGGCTCCAGTAGTTGCTACATTAACGAGATTCTTATTTATTTTTTCGCGAGTAGGAAGGAGCTTTGGAAAATGCCATGATGCAAGCTTTGATTCACGATCAAGTTGATTTCGTCAAACTTTTATTGGAAAATGGAATACATATAAAAAAATTTCTGACCATAGCTCGTTTAGAAAAACTATACAATTCGGTATAAGTATTTATTTTTATTTTTTTTAAATTACAAATTATGAGCTTGTTTTTTTTATTCACATTATATTATAGAAATTCGGACCACCAAATACCTTGCATTATTTGATTCAGGATGTTAAAAAGGTTTTTTTTTTAATTTTAATTTTTTATATTTACCACGATAACAAAAAAACGCATAAAATATATTTAGAAGTATAAAAAGTACCGATACAGATTTCTAAATCAGATCGGCCATTTTGAAAATATCGACCTACATCTAGTATTTTTTTTAAATGCTCGGGCCGATCTGTTTTTTTTAAATTGAACGCATTTCTTATATAAATGAATATAAACTTCTAAGAATATCCCTCGTCTCAACTATTGGTACACAATGATTGACATTGGTTACGTCATAGATAGATTGATGGGCGGTGTTTATAGATGCTGTTATGGCAGGAGACGATTTAAATCGATTTATTTTCCATCTAAACAAGTATTAATTATCATTCACTTCTTAAAATCGAATAATTCAATAAGGTTTAAATTCAAATTAAAAATGTTTTCGCGATGTCGTCCATCTTTAGGTTTTTTTTAAAAAACTATTATTCATGGCAAATAAAGTTTGTTTCAAAATTTTTATTTCGATTTTTTTAAAAAAATAATTTCCTCAGAATAATCAATGTCATGAAAAAAATGACGATGATATCGAAACACTCGGTACAAACAATGCGCACAAAACCCAATCAAATACACTGCTCCCTCCGCCCAACATTCCCGAATTTATGACATCCATCTCCAATTATTCCATCCAACTGCCTTCGACAAATTGGGAAAATGAACAACCTTTTCTCCAGCCTTACCACGATTTGATGATATGGGCTGTGTTGACGCAAAGGTTATATAATCTCAAGTTTTTACACATTAAGGCCATTCTGTTTGCTTCTTAAAACGAATGATTAAAAGTCAATTTCCTATCTTGAAAAACGTTTTAGACGCAGCATTAATGAAGTAAGTGGACACTTTTTAATTATAGAAACGTTTAGTTTTTTTTGTCGTCTCTTTTACGTATTACTTCTTATTCTCAAGTTTTTACACATTAAAGCCATTCTGTTTGCTTCTTAAAACGAATGATTAAAAGTCAATTTCCTATCTTGAAAAACGTTTTAGACGCAGCGTTAAAGAAGTAAGTGGACACTTTTTAATTATTGAAACGTTTAGTTTTTTTTGTCATCTCTTTTACGTATTACTTCTTATTAAGATTTGCCCATTATGATATTTAACTTTTTATTCCGGGGCAAATCGCTCCGGACTCGAGCTTGAAAATTATTTTAAAAAACTTCTAAAATAAAGAATATACAAAAAAAATGTTTTCTCTTTTTGTTTTAAACAAAATAAAATGATAATTTGAATTTCTCTAGTGATTTTTATCTTACTTTAATTTCTTGAGTAGGCGTCGAATATATTTTAAATAGTTATAATTCGGGCCTGAGCCTCGAGTTTAAAATTTAGATTCTAAGGTGGGCTCGGGCCGGAAAATTGAAATTGAGGTTTTATTCTAGGTTGCACATGACCAAATAATTTTTAATTGATGCCAGATTAAATAAATTGAATATCCGATCCGAAAAAAGAAGTTGCGTGAATTCGTAAAATTAGATACTTGGTTTATTTAGTAAAATTGATATATATTTACATACAAAAAAAGGCAAACTACATCCCTTTACTTTTGGGAAATGGGAGATGAACCTCTACCTAAGGCTCTAATGGCCACTAAGCTATACAAGAGTATAGGGCAGGAAGCGGCTCAAGATGATCTCGAAACGGATATGAGCGAAAAGTGCCAATCATATGCGAAGTTATTACTTTTTTTGAGAAAATTTTGTTGCAATAGCGTTTATCGCTAAGGAGTGGTAACAGCATTCTCATTGCGTCTAAAAATAATTATATGCATGGCACTACTATTTGATTGATTTGTAATATATGCTCCATTATTTTTACAAGCGGAGATTGAGTGTACTGTTTTTAAATACCAAATTAGGAAACTTGCACTTTTATTTATGATATTAAAAAAAATGTTGTGTTCATGATTAATAATTGTCATTTTTTCCAAGACAATACGCCAAACTAGCGCTAGAACTACTCGAGAAATGCTTTCAAACTAAACAAGATTACACGGAACAACTCCTTACCTACCATCTCAAACATTTCAGTGATCAGACTTGTTTGAGCTTAGCCGTCGCCGCTAACCACTTGGAATTTATAGCTCACAATTGTTGCCAATTTTTATTGGGAGACCTTTGGATGGGTGGCTTAAGGGTTCGCAAAAGTTCGGGCATCAAGGTTAGTCTCGTAAAATGTAGTAAGTAAATAAGAAAGAAGGAAAAAGTAAAAAAAAGCATAATTTAATTACCAAAATGTTGGCCATTCTTTTTCTTTCAAAATATATTACAAAATGCGCCTAAAAAGATTTTGATGGGCCTATTCTTACCATGCACTATCCTGACTCTGGAATTTAAGACTCTGGCCGAACTACAACTTATGCCTCAAACGCTGGAAGAGCACATCAACGATCTCGAACAAGAAACCGACGACAATGATGAAAACGAATCCGATAACGAGAGCGCTAACTTGGAGAACGACTTCTTTAACATGCGAACCCAGGATTTTTCCGAGGGTTAAACCTAAATCGTTATTATTATTTTAGCACCTTATTTAAGCCCCCTTTTAGACTATAAGGAAACGGAAACCAAAATTATTGCCCAAAAATGGGAATCATAAAGTGGGTGGATCGCTATTAGGTTGATATCAAATATATCCTTAATTTTTTTTATCATCTGAAATAATTTTTTAAAAACATTCAATGATTGAAAAAAAATATATAGATGTCTTTGTAGAAGACGATGATAACGAAATAAACTTCGATAAATCTCCAATTATAACGCAATCAGCTTTTCGAGTAAATTTCAAATATTATTAACTGCCTCTTATAAATTACATTAAAAAATTTTTTTTTTATTTAAGAGGATTTCACTAGAATTTTTACTTCAAACATTATTAACTCTTTACTAGAAACTACGTTTAATATAGGCATGGAAATAACTTACCCTCAGCATTTAGTAATATAAGAAGAGTTTCAAAAACCTGTTGGAAATTTGAAAATTTTTTTTATGTTTATTTGGGAGTAGTCAGTTTTGTAAAAGATTAGTTATTATTATTTATAAATGTAAAACTTAAAAATTATCTTTTATATTTTATTACTATAGAAATTGATATTAAAAAAATTAATTTTATATATTTTTTGGCACCCCCCATGCTACATTTTACTAAGGATTTACGAAAGGATTCTAGCAAACATTCATATAACCTTTCTCACGTATCCCTACCCAGCACTACTCCCTTAGAACCCCCTTACAATACAGTTGACTATTTACCCAAAACTGCTTCTCAACAACCTTCGATTCCCATTATTCGAATATCCTCCCCGCCCCGTATCAACATAATCTCGCCGAACTCTCCTGCGCTGGTTTCCGTGAAATCGGGTGGTTTTAAAAAATATATGTTCTCATTTATTCCCACCTTCTTTGCCGCTTCACTATTCAATCAAAACAAACGCGAAAATGGTTGGAGCCAAACCTCGACCACCGTTTTTTCTGACCCGGAAAACAATCACGCCAAATGCGAAAAAGATAACGATATTAAAACATCACCAAGACATGGTAGTTATCTGGCGCAGATACAGCTTAGCCATCACAAGAACTGTACGATCGAAGCTATCAAGTTGGCTAAAATAGCTAGTGGAAATGATAAAGCAGTGGGCCGTACAAGATCATGGATAGCCAGAATTATAAGGAGATTTCGATCTGACCCTAACAATAATTATGATAAGAATATGGTCGACAAATTTGATCCACCAAGGCGTGGTTCGCGAAAGTCATTAGATTGCAAAAAGGTTGTTTTTACGATTTCGATTTTATCAAGACATGAGATATCTTCTATATATTAATATAAAGTGAATTTAAGAATATTTTTTAGTAAACGATAAACTTGCAGTTATTTTTGATAAGAAAATAAATAAACTATTTTAAAAACACGGCATGCATAAATAGTAATTTCCTAACTATATGGAACATTATTATGACACACTTTTATCATAAAAATCTAATCAAAATTTTGTTTAATATTGTATAAATATGACAGTTATCCATTCCTATCTTCGAACTTAGAAATAAACTGTCGGAAAGAAAGATATCAACAAATATCAGGAAAATGAACAAAAAAAGCTTTCCACGAATATCCACTATAAAGGTTTAATTTCATTTTTTTAAGGCCACCTTTTTTTATTTCATTCACTATTAGGGCTATATTGCCCTCTCCCCATACGGGTTGTACCATACAATTACATCTTTGTTTTAGGAAGGTGCTCTCTTAATCGACGTCCATACATAATCATTAGCCATTTTATAATTGAATTATTTATATTTTACTGAAAATGGGGCGGGGAGGGGGACTCCAAGATATTGACTTTGGAGGAGTTTAGAAGGCTTTAAGAGGTAACCATAAATTGGAGACTGATAAGATAAAATAAGCTAGTAGAAATTATTACAATTGTGTAGTTAAGTGTTTTTAGATTTAAAAGCCAAGATTTTAAAGATTTATTGAGTAAAAGAGTATTTTGGGATAATATCTCAAAATGTAAAATGCCGCTATATGACTAAAATACAATAGATATGGAAGAGCTTATGATAAGACTTTTGAATGATAATGGTAAAAGTGCATATTCATTCAGCCAATATGTAACCATTGATGAAATGCCTGCTTTTTTAAAGTGAATGTCCATTCGAAATGCATAAAAATTAATTATCTTGTTGATTCAATGCATTTTAATTAGATCCAAATTTATTAAATTAATTTTGAATACTAAATATATGAGTTATCAATAAAAGGGAATTAGTTATATACTTTCACATAACAAAAACTATATTATAAATGGCTGTGTCGATATTAAATATCGGATCGGCACCGATATTTAGAGTTTTCAAACAACATCGAATCCGGTCAATATTTTTTTAAAACCGATCTGATATTTTTTTTTATTTATTCTTTTTGGTGATTTTATTAATTGTATAATTTTTTTATTTTATAAATAATTTCATAAAAATTAATGAGAAGAACTAAAATACAATATATTTGTTGTAATGTTTAGAAAAATGTTAAAAATTTTACACTATATTTTGTTATATATCTGTAACAAGAAGGGGATTTTCAAATATCTAACGAGTCAAATTCAGCAAATAGCTTGATTTACCCAATTTTTAAAAGCAATTAACTAAAAATTTTACTTAAAAGTAAATTACTCAAGCTTATTTATTTTTTCTCACATTGGCAGAATGGTTTGAACATCCATTGTTGAATTTCGGAGCTTAGTTATTAATACCTTTTTATAAATCGGCCAAATGGAGCTGTTTAGCAACACGACACATTCACGCATAAGCTTGCAAATATTTTAAATGAGATTAATAGCTTTTGGAGAGTAAAATAAACAAAATACACACAATCAACATTAGTGAACGTTGGCATGTTTTTTTATAATAAAAATTATTGATATTTTTATGACAATGGTTCAAAGATGGATGGTAAATAAAAATCAATATAGATATCAGAATCTGATAGGTTTAGTAATATCGATAAATATCGGATTGGATCGGTGAAATTTGTGGATCGACGCAATCCTAATATTAATAATGATGATTAAACATTAAATTAATAAAATTTATAGTAAAAACATAATTTCTTATTCGAAAAAAAATTAAAATTTAGAATCTTTAAATGGGTGGGCCACTTTGCAATATTATCCCAGAAGATATCTGTTTAAAAATTAAATTATAAACCCCACCTATACATTTAGGCCGAGTCAATTCTCGGATTCTTTTTGAAACTTATTTATGTTTAGCCTAGGTCATTTAGTCTTTGACCTATGACACTGTATTCTGATTTGTTTTAAGTTTGAAAATTTAATAAATATTACTTGTTAATATTTTTTCGGAACCAATAAAACAAAGACTTGTTAGATCATAATAATTTCTTTCTTTTTAGGCTGTTTAGTGGAAGCGATAGAGAAAGGATAAACAAACAGCTCTTTAAAAATAATTTGAGAATCTACCTGCGCTAATAAGAGTTAATCACAAAAAAATAAATTATTGACCAAAAATTAAGTTCATAATATTTAAATCATATATAAGTTCATAATTATTGTAGAATAATTATCTAATATTTTTAAAAAGGATTATTAAAAATATATATTCCCATATCACAATAACGACAATTAATAAAATTCTTCCAATATATTATAATATTGACGATTGACATTTTTTCATATAAAACACTCGATTATAACAGTTACCAAATCTGAAATCAAGTCAAACTTCGATGGGGTTTCCTTCGCCTTCCGCCCAATCTATGCTGATGTCAAGTTCGACCACAATGTTGAATGCTAAAACCAAATTTTACGAATTTTATAACGCGCCCATAACCAAATTCTGGTGTCATACCTTGGCTTACTTCTTTTTTATATTTGTTTTTACACATGTTGTTTTGGTGGGTAGTTCCGCCAATATTCTCAGAGACTCCATATTTGCATTGAACAGAACTCTACTCAATCAAGACGCTTCCTTTTATTTCAATTACCAATTCAGCACTCCAAATCAGGTATACTTATCACTTTAGATGCAGGTTTTAAAAGGATATATTTTAAAAAAATTGTCAATTTTCATAAATTTAATTTTAAAAAAAATAGCAGTTGGCTTAATTCACATTATAAGAGTGCTCAACTAATGGCTCATTTATAATCAGCATGATAATGGTTAAGCGATGGAATTCCCCGCCATTTTCGCGATTACTCGAAATGAGGCCTATAGCCCATTTTATTCGTTTGAGTAAATGGTAGACATTTTATAATATAACCTAGAATCATTGAGAAGCAAGCGTGAGACCAAGAGTTATTAAATATATATTTTATACTTTATCTCTAAATTTAACCAATCTACTAAGTTTCCAAAAAGAGAGATTTACTGACGCTTCGACGAAAATTTTAAAAAAAAACTATGATAAAATTATAATAATTTATTTTTTATTCGTATTCCATTACCATGATATTATAAGAATTGAATGATGATCTAACTCATATTAAGACCATTTCTAATATATCTTAACCCTAACCCTTAATCCACTCCTTTCTTCAGATACTTGTTTAATTTTAAACATATCTCATCCAATTAAAAACTCTCCCTCAATTAAACATTATTTGAGTTGAGCTATTATCCAATTGAATATATAACAATTAACAGGTTTATTTTATGATCGTTATTCATTTTTTTGCATTGTTTTACGGAATATCAGACGCCACATTTTTTAAGGACAAATCTCACAATTTTTACGTTTAAACTATGAGGAATAGCACTTTTCCGAAGGCGTGCACAAGATATTGCTAATCAGTATTCTTAGTCCTACACACCCGTTTAAAGTTGCATAATTTAGTCTTATATTACGCCAAGGGTTTATCAGCCGTTCTTAGAGTTTTAAAAACTATAATCTCGCTTTGATAAGTGTTTTTCTGATATTTTAAAGCGTATCTTTGTAAATTAAGGAATTATTATTGCCACGTTTTCAATATTCCATAAATCTTTAGTGATGAACTTTGTTATTTGCGTAATCTAGAATGGTTTTAAGAATATTTTCCTTAAACGATTTCAAGCAGTTCATATTTATTTTCATATCACATGATGATATATCTTTGAGATGTATCCTTAGGTTCGCCCTTGAAAATTTCTTCAGGAATTTGGATTACAGTTTGAAGCATATAATTGTAGAATTCCATATCAGATTCTGGTATTTGTTCATCTGTCATCTATTTTTAAAGGCGATATTTCTTTGATATATTCTTAGGTTAGATAAAACTTAACTTTTTTTATTATTGAATTTTATTTTAATTATTACTAATTAATATAATTGTAAAATGACATAAAATCAACACAAAATTTATATACGGAAAAAAAATTCCAAATTAAATAATATAAAGGTGAAATAGAGTGTAAAATGATGAGAATAAGGAAGAAAGAGTAAGTGTAACGAAGATCTGTGGAGAGAAGACTGCCACTGATACTTGATAATTCGCTTTAAGGATAGCTAGGCCGGCCGCCGACCATTTTTGGTTACGCCGAAAATGCCGCCGTTCAAGAAAATCACGCCGGCGCGCCGCTGATTTTCATGTCGGCGGCGCATTCATATTTTATACCTTTTTATTCTAATAATTGGTCAACATCACTCTTGTAATTTTTTAATGTCAATCAGGATTTTGATGAATTTTCTACTATTTTAAAATCATAATTATATTGACTCATTATAGAATTCAGTAAATCAAAAATTCCAAAAGTTACCATAATTTTACATATTTTTAAAATGGATGTATCTACATTTAATAATTCTATAAATAATTTTAGTATCCTAACCCTGGATAATAAAAAATTCATAGTCTGGAAATTTTTTGCAAAAGAATTAGAAATTATTACTGCTCTAAGATATAAAACCGCAGAAGTTAATTTGAATTCGAGGAATATCAAAGAAAATGTCTAGGTACATTAGATTTAACATCAGACATGTTAGATCTTGATAGCATTGATCCATAATCGAGTACCCGTAACAATAATTCCACGTATATGAAAACCTTAAAATTAAATGTCCCAAGCCCAACACGTTGGCATAGTATATTAATTATGCTAGAAAGCATATCTGGATTAAATAAGGATTTAATTAATAATGTTTTGAAAAGAATTGGGAAGCACTTTCTCAAATTATGAATCTGATCTGGTAGAACTATTAGCAATTTTTCAAAATTTAAAGAAACTGTCGAATTTCTTTCAGTACAAAATGGGCCTACTTTAAACTTGTCATTACTTTTTAGAAGTGAAATTGAAACACATTTAATAGTAAATGATAGTGATAGTTCTGAAATTATTTCACTTAAGGAAAATATACTAAAAAAACTTGCGTTACGATTTCCGGTTTGTAATCTGCAAATAATATTATATAAGTATATTCTTTTATTTTTTATTTAAAATTATCTAGGTATTGGCTCCAAGATTTTAAAAATTGACAATAGTGTCAAAGTATTTAATAGAGCAAAATTGCTCATTAGAATTTATAATAAAACATCTTAAACTTATAGAGAATGATGATAATCAGGTATAATATATCTAATGAGGATGAAGATGAATTATTAAATTCAAGTTATTTGACAAAATTGGCAAATAAACATTCAACAAATATAAATTATGATTCCAAGTTAGGTGACTTAGAACAAGAATGCCACAGTTTTCTTGGAAAACGACATTCACAAGATATGGGCGTTCTAAATTTTTGGAGAGAAAAGAAGAGTGAACTTCCCAATCTTTCAAGTCTCCACAAAAAAATTTTTCGCATTCCGGCGACTAGCACACTCAGTGAAAGAGTTTTCTCTACCTCTGGATTGACGTTAAATTCAAGGAGATCATCATTATGTCCCGAAAATTTAAAAAAAAAATTTATACAAGTTATTATAAATTTATGAAATCGATTTTGGATATAATAAGTTTTGTATTAAAAAATATGCCGAGATATCTGTGAAATAGTGTATATTTATTTGTTTTTTTTTTAAATTAATAAGCAATTAAAAAAATTTATGTTATAAAATTTATAACTTCGCCGATTTTATTGACGGCGGCTAAAAATCGGCGCGCTGCCAGCCGTTGATTAGATTTTTGAAATTGCGCCGGCCGCCGATAGTTTCGTCCAACGGTCTAGCTATAGCCAATCTCTGTCTGAGGAGGAAGCCTTCTCGAAGATCTGGGATCGGCAGTATACTTGCGGATGCGACTTAAATCCTTAAAGAAGGATTATGAAAGCTTACCAAAGGAAGTTAGTGATATTATTGGAATAAAGATGTGATCTTCTGATATTTCCGAATATTTGGAAATTTTAAGCTGTTCTTTTTGCTCGAAGTAAGTTTGGAGTCTGGTTGGATAGGCTAATGTATCTTATACAAGAATAGTCCTAACCCAGAAATTGCGTTTCCATGGGATCAAAATGATTCCGTTAAGCTGCATCGAATTTAAAAACTCCTTGTGGTTAAAGTATAGTGGGTATTTGTTAAAACATTTAAACTTATAAACAAAATTATTTATATTTATCCTTCTAAATTCATTTAACTAATAATTTAAGAACTTTAAAAAAAATAAATAATTGGTTAGATGTTAAATTCATAGGCAAAATTAATAAAAGATAGATTTATTTACTTTTAAAAAATAAAATGGAAGGTATTTTTGGATTATATATAAATTTGTTTTTTAATCCTTCTATATATTGTCGTATTGGGATATGGAATCTTTTAATTTTAATTATTTACTAAAGGCGATTTTTAGCTTTGAAAAATGGGACCCTTTTAAAATTGTATTCCTGGGTCCGACCCTTTTTTTTGTCGAAAGGTTCACCCTGTATAAAAGTCCCTGAAATAAATCTATTTTCCATTTTCGAATAGTAAATAATCAATAAATATTGGTTAATTTTTTATAAAAACAAATCAGTACCTCAACCAATCCTACCCAGATTTTATTCTCAAATCCCATGTTTTAAAGGGCCAAGCTCATGTTTTCTTGTTATGGACCGAAATATTTGTCATCGCTTATATCTTTACCTTCGCTTGCGAGAAGGTGAGGGAGGCAATATCCAGTGAAGCCGTTGGCTGGGCCCAAAAATCAAAACTTTGGTTCTACAGTTTTTGGAACATAGTTTGCCTCATGGGATTCATCCTGTTCTTTATCGGGCTCATGTTCAAATTAGCTGCCGCCGATCGGTTAAATCGGTTCTACATTCATTCCTGGAGAGCACATCGACGGCATGACATTATGAAAATAGATGTGAATTATTTATTTCGGATCAAGACTCTACTCATATGGAGTAGGTTTTTCAATGCCCTCTCTGCTATATTTTGGTATGTCCGCATATTGGACATATTAAGTTGTAACAAATACCTCGGTCCATATGTCGTTATGATAGGAAAAATGGTATATTCATATTGAAAATGACTACTTATATATTAATAGGCACATTCAAATACGAATCGAATATAAACGAATAATTTACTATTCACATTTGTACGTATAATTTATCACAAATATGTTAAAAAAAGTATGAACACTTTTAGGGTTTAAAATAATAAAGGGAATAAATTTCACCAAAAGGTTAATATATTTAGAAAATAAACAATATAAGTAATCGAGGCATTATTTATTCGGATTCGAGCGTATAATTTACATTTGATTTGTTTGAATAGGTTTGATATATATAGTAAATATTATTTAGTTGATGTTTTAAAAAATAATTTTTTCTCCTTTGAATTCAACCAATTCGTTGAATTAAACTCTATGGCTCAAAAATAAATTTTTAAACTGTAATGTATCAGCGGTCTCGCTAGAGAAATAGGGAGCCAAGTTCGCTTCTTAATATTTTTTTACAATTTAATCAAAAGAATTGTCCACCCTTTTTTAAAAAAATATAAATTTAATAATTTAAACATTTTAGATGTTAGATATGATGATATTTGTCATGATAATGATAGTGGTGATGGCATCCTTCGGCATGGCTCGTTACTCCATTCGTAATCCCAGTGCCGAATCGTCTTGGACCTTAATAAAAGATATATTTTATCAGCCTTATTGGATGATGTATGGCGAAGTTTTTGCCCCCGACATTAATCGTAAATATATTTAATATCTTCTTTCTTTCTTAATTGATTAAGAGAAAGTGGACAGATTTTAAACGATATTTTTTAAAATGGATAATATTTGACCTTAATTTAATTCGAATGAAGTTTGAATAAGAGACCTGAAGCCGAACTTTGAGTAAAAACCATGGAACGAGAACTTAATCTATATTTTTCTGGAACAATTTTTAATTATTTATAATTTGACTTATGGAGATAGAACTTAAAACACCACTTTTTTCATTATTTTTACCTTAAATTGACTACAAGGTTCCATCTCCACATTTCTAAATTACTTATCATCCAGTCATGTCAGAGCATAAAGGGAAGAGATGCCAGAAAAATAATTTAATGATATGCCCTATCGCAGAAATAAGCTCGTTATTAGTGGCAATAAACTTTATTACCACAAATTTTGCAGTTTTTTAAAAAAAGGAGAAGATTTATTACATATAAGTATATATAAAATTAAATTTTTCTAAGTATCCTATGATTTTCGCCAGAGCATGATATTTTTTAAAATCGCTTTACTAAAAAATTCATCTGAGTGAAGATAAAATCATAGAATAATCAAGCAGAGACATATTTATTTTTAATTATACATTTATTTATAATTAGTTTTCATCATTAAGGTTAGAGAATTTCTGGGAATTTTTATTGTGGTAACTTTCCAATGGGAATTAATGCTATTGCCTAAAATGTGAACTACCAGAATATTCTGAATGAATGAATATATACAATCTATTCATGATTATTTATAAAAAAAATAAAATTTAACCTTTTTGGGGCAATTAAATCTACAATAAGTAGTCTAATTTGGGAAAAGTTGTATTGTCAAATAAAATATATTTGTTGAAGCAAACTATTAAATGTGAGCTACGTGAATATTTTGATTAAATATATCCAAGCTATTCATGATTATTTATAAGAAAAAAGGATCTAACTTTTTAAAATAATTTTTTAAAAATTGGAATTCTCAGGGTGGAAAAAAATCAATTTTTTTAGGAACATTCTAGAAAATTCCCAAAATTAAAAAGGAACAATTGTTTAGCAGGATCTGATAAAGGAACACTTTTTGGCAGGAGCTGAAAAGAGAATGCAAATACCTATTTCGGTTTCTTGGATAACCTAGAATCACATAATAATAATAGATATTATGATTTTTTTACCATTTAAACTTTTTGTTATTTTGTAGCGGAATGTGGAAGCAATGGGGTACCTTGTATAACTGGCGATTGGATATCACCAGGATTAATGGCACTTTACCTATTAGTGACAAACATCCTATTAGTCAATTTGCTAATCGCGGTTTTCAAGTATAAATAATCTTATATTATATAAAAAAAAATTGATTTACATTGCCTCAATTAGAAATATTTAAATGTCGAATAAAGAAAGATTTGTTAGCAAATAGAAATTATGCCATTTTTTTTAAATCGCGAAAGCCATACCTTTCTCAAAGTTAGTGCAATATCTCAACAAATCTGGAAATTCGGACGTTTTGATCTGACAATCGAATACGAGATGAAGCCTATATTGCCTCCACCTTTGATAGTTTTCTGTCATTTATATAGGCTTTTCAAGTATTTTTGGAATCGCAAACGTTATGGTTACTCAGGGATCGAAGCTAATTTTGATTATGGGCTGAGTAAATTAAATTTTTACCTTTTTTAAAAAATGAGTTCTTTAACTAAGTTTAACTAGTATAACCTAGCCATAATTTATAAATTAGGAAAAAGGAGAGGGGGTGGGGGTCAATCATAATATTAATGTGCATATCAAAAAACTATTTTCCTAATTAAAATACAAATTTTAATTCGATTTGAAACCCAAAATTTTAAGCAAAAAAATCTTTGAAGATCACAAAATCGAAGATTTTTTTTAGGAAGATCAAAATGATCTTTTAAAGTACTTTTCAATAACTTTAATTATTTTTAATAAATTTACAACTTATTTAAAAAAAATATATTTAATTTTTTTTTTTAAATATAATATATCTATTTTTAATTTTTATAGATAATAAATAGCCATTTAAAATATTCGGCCCGGCTCGGGTATTTCTTATAAAAAATTAAGGCTAGGCCCGGGAATTTTAGAAAATTTTTTTTAGGCCCGGCCCGTGTACCCCCGTCCTTAGGAGTCTGCAGGTCTTTGGATTATATAGACATATTGTACTCATTTTCAGGACAGAGCAGGGAGTATAGAGAGAAATTTCCTGCTCCCTTTCTATAATGCCATCAATGTTGTAGTGATTTTAAAAAAAAAGATGAATAGAACATACCCCAAATTACCTAAGGATTATTTTAAATTTATATAATATTGATTTCCATAAACAAAAATTACATTTATTTCAAATTTCAAGAACTGTATCTGTCAGAGGAAGAAGTAAACAAGCTTCACGAGTTCGAGAAATGTTGTCTCGACGATTTGATAGGAGATAAATCATTTCTCCTCCAATCGACGATAGAAAAGCAGATTGCTCGCGCTTTGGATCAATTTGAGGACATGTCATCAAGAATCGATTATTTATATAACAAGCAACAAAATATCAACGCCATGTTTACAAATTTCGATAAACGGTTGGTGTCGAATAAACATTTTAATTTTTTTTTAAAAATTAAAAAAAAATCAGTTGAGAATCGGTACCTCGTCAAATTTAAAAACCGGAAATTGCTTTTTTGAGATTTAAGAACCGGAACTCACCTGATAATATTTATATATCCGAACTCATTTTTTTTAAAAAAAATCCGAACCTGTTTTTTAGTATAGGTTCTAAACTGATTTATTATTAAATCATCTATCCTTTTTTAAAATCGATATTTTAGATTACACAATTTAGATAACGTTACCACGACAACCAATCATATTCATCCAATTGTAAATAGCAAAAAAAATTATCCCCAATATGATCCCGGAATAATATATACCACTCCTTCGAGTAATGCGCTCAATCAAAATAACTGGGAACCGAGCTCACCCATAACCAGTATTCAGCAGAAATCAACGCCTTCTTTAAACAGATTATTCGTCATGCGATATAAGAACAGTCATTCTAATATGGGCGCAAAAACATCGTCGCCTAAACTCGTGTCAACAATTAAAGAAGATCGCGGCAACTTAAAATATGAAGTTGAACCTGTAACATATGACATAGCTAACTCGACCTTAGATTCTGAGGCATCTTATATTAATTCGGAAGATAATTTGTCTTTCCCCATGGTCACAACCAATTCCGATCATGATAAGGGGAACGAAAATAACGATGACAAAAATTATTTAGAATTTTAAATTTGGAAAATTATGCAATATACTACATAATTTGTTTATAATGATGCAATCAAATAAATAAAAAGACCTTTATTAATATAAGAGAACGCGATTATAAATATATATATTTAAATTAATCAGATGTATTTTTTATTTATTTATCAACTATATAATAATTATATAATGTATGTGACTAAAAAAAACTGGTCAAATATTAACATTTTAAAAAATAAATCCTATATTATAATAAAATTTATAGAAGACTTATAAATAATAAATTCGGAACAAGAGACAGCTGGCCAAATAAATACCTTGATTTATTTAATTTATCTCAAAAATCTATTTTAAGATTTTCGTAAAATTGGGGTTATTTTTTGTGTCCCGGTGTTTTTTATAACATAATACGATAAATTATATATGCAAATAACTGGTAAATAAGCCAACAAATTTATTATAAGTATTCATGTATTCGTTTTATCACAAAATTTAAGGTAAAATGTATAATTTTTGGGAGATGTTATGTCGATCACTTCAATTATGGCATTGTCGTATAAGCCCAATTCTAACAACAACAAAAAATTAAAAAATAACATTTTTTAACGGAAAAAAAACCTTTTAAAGTTTTGCTCAAATTCGATTTTGTTTTCTCCTCTAAATCTTTGACGCCTTCCATGTAAAGAGTTTTCTGCTTGCCATTTATAAGCGAGAAAATAGATGGATTTTTCATTTGACTTATTTTTAAATAACGTCATAAAAACAAATAAATGCAAAATAAAATATTTCTTTTAAAAAACAATTGCTTGTCGTAACTCTAAATATTTAGGTGCGTTCAAAAATAAAGCCTCGCTTAAATTTACGAGTCAGTCACCATGCATTCACAGCTAGCGCGAATTCGCGACGATGTATACAAAAAAGGAAAGAATGCACACTTTCTCGCCACTAAAGCAACCATTTTTAAAGTATTCTTTTTTGAGATTAAATTAAATATAAAAAAAAAGTATATGTTTTTAAATAAAAATACAGCGAGGGATCTTCTTTTAGATGATTCAATAATTCCTCCAACTTCTCAGTTGATCTAGATTTTAACACTTTGACAGTGTGACTACAAGCTATACAATCTTCCTTTAAAAAAAATGAAATTTTTTTTAAAAAAAAATAAGTTTTAGCAATACCTTCTTCTCAGTTAAATATGTGTAGCAATAAATTCCATCTGTGTCATTGAATAGAAAATTATTTATAGGTGGATAGCAACTGTAAAATAAGAATAAAAATAATTTAAAAATATGTTGTATTATATTAGGTTGAGGATTATGACATTTCTTCATACAAAATAGTTTTATATTTAAGAAAAAAAAGATTATATTAAGATATGGCTAATGTAACCATAGTTACTTCTAATTAAAAAAAACATAAATTGCCAAACTAGCCACCATTTTAATCACTTCACGTGTGCTTATATTTTGCGCTCGCCTTACTAACCTAAATTGTAATATAGAGCACTAAGAGGCCTTATATTTTTCGATCACCAACTCATAGATTTAAGATAATTTTAAATATTTAAGTGATTTTACGTGAAATTTATATAAAATTTACCTAGTAGCTATTTTGAGAGCTTCATTTGCGCAAGATGCTTTAAAAAAAATCTTTCAAGTATCTTACAAAAAAAATATTTATTACCCGCAATAACTGCATTTGTTGAGGCGACCGCTGGGACAAGTCTTTTAACTACACCTTTAAAAAAATAAAGCGTTATCTCCTGAGGAATTTTGTTAAATGTGTTTACCCTGTGTCATAGATAAAGTGATTCCTTTAATATTGTAATGATGTCCACGTTCGAGGCTATTTAAATAAATCCATTTTATATGTTCTGGATTATCCCCATCTATACCTACATTTTCTATATTAAATTTTTATTTTTTAATGTATTAAATTAATTTTTTATCAATTTATTTAATCTTATATTGAGCAAACCAAAAAAATTAAATATATAATATTTATCATTAAAATATTTTAAAAGAAAAACGAATCTTTTTACTGATTCACAAGCCTGTCTCTTAATTTTGATTGAACTATAAAAAAATGGTATAAAAGCTGAAGAAGCGGTATACATCAAGACTGAACATTAAAATTCTAATTGGGATCCCTTCACTCAGATCAAGATTCGAGATAATATATTATAAAGGCAAAAACAACGTTTTTTTCTTTAAAAAGGAGTGTTCCAGTCATTCTCATTATTCAATACGATCTGATATGTTTGATAAAAAAATAGAATTTGCAATATAACCAAAGATTTTGTGATAAAGCTCTTTTGAGGGCTGATATTTATAACTTTTGGCTAAACTATGTTCTTAATTCTTTTCGATTTTCTACAGCTTGATTGACAATTGACTCAAAAATGCTTAAATACTGTTGCAGTATTCAAATTTATTTAATTTTTACCTTCATCATATTTGATTAAATAACATCGAATAATCTTTTCACGATATATATTTTTACTTATTTTATTTTATATTATATATTAATCTTATTTATAATATTATATAAAGCAATAATTTATATGTTAGCGGCAATGTGTTATTTTTCAACTTTAAATCATTTTTTGAGCGCGTTTTTTTAAATTTAAAAATCTGAATTTCCGGAAATGTATTCCATCATATTTGGAATCTACCCTGTGAATATATTTTGTCATGAACCTTTAAACTTATTATAATTTATCGTTTTTCCATAGATTTCTCTTATAAATTATAAATGACTCAAAAGTTAACGGCAAAATTTTATGAAATATATAAGATAGCCATTTTAAGCATGCCGGAATACATTTCCGGCAAAATCAGATTTTTAAATCTAAAAAAACGCGTTCAAAAAATGATTTATTAAAAAAATAGCATATTGCCGGAAAAAACACATTAATGTAATTATAGTATAATAAAAATGGTTTATAAAAAATAATAAAATATGATTCAATAAAAATAAAAAGAGATAATTAACATCATTTGGATCCTTTTAATAGTCAATAAAATAATTATTTATAAACTATTTAAATTTTTATTTTACTTATTATTTTTACAAACTTATCTTCAACATTCTTTTACGCATTTTAATTAAACCTATCTTTGCAAATTTGAAAATCTTCTATTTTTGTATAATGTTCAAAATTGACTTTTTCATGCATTTTAAAAATATGGTATAATATGCCCCCTTTTAAAGCTTTTTGCATGTAAAATAGAAGTTTTTTATTTAAAAACGATTTAAATATACCCTAGTTATTAACCTAATTATGAAGAACACAAAAAAATAAATTAAGACTATTTTATTTCTAAAAAGACTTGACATTGGTATCTGCAAAAAAGTGTTATTGATGTTTCTCTAATTATTTAATTGGTGGAAAAAAAATTAAAAAATATTAACATATTTATTTAAAATCCTAAATGATGCATTACTGAGTTTATTTACAAGTAAAAAATGACACTACTTTCACCTGCCAAAATAGTGATGTTACGCCATTATGACTGGAGTTACTTTACTAATTTTTTGTACTGTCAAATTTTATTAATAATTTTTTTTAAAATATTTGTAAAAAAAAATGTTTCAAGTAATTCAAAAATTTAAAACAAAATTTTTATATCCAAATTAAAGCCCAACAAATTCAATTTTTTAGGCCCAAAATTTAATTAATTTTTAAACCTGGACATGGCTCAATTTTTATAAATTCATTTTTAAGCCTGGCCTGAATTTTAATTGATAAATATAAAACATTTTCTAAAGTTAAATATAAAAATTAGTAATTTCTACATCCTAGCCCAAGATGATCATTCTAAATAAAAGAAAAGCAAACATTATTTTATATTTTAAAATTTTTTAAGCAATCCTGGCACAAAGCTTAACCCAAATTTTTATTATAGTGAAATAATTATAATTTTTCAAATTTTATAATATATTAATTAAATGCTAAGTTAAATACACACTCAATTTTATAAATTACATCCTTTGATTGACAAAAATGATTAAAATGCACATGCTTTTAATTATTTTTCATTTATATAATTTTTAAATTTTATTCAATAAATAATTCACAATAGCACAACTTAGTGGTTAATTTATCTAGATCCAAATTAAATAAATGAATATAAAGTAAATAAAATATTTTGAAAAGTAGATGAAATAGAGTGATAAATTTATCCTCCCCTTTGTAGATTTTGCTACTACTTAAAAAATTATTTACCCCCAAATGGATTCTCCTTTTCCCATTGTATAATTCTTACATATTCAATACAATGTTCTGGCAATCGTGGTCTGTTTGCAATAGTACAAAGTGGGAAGTTAACCTTGATAATATTATATATAAATATAACATTAACTAAGTTACTTGAGGTGGATAGAGATCTAGAGTGCAATCAATACAAGCTGTTATACTGGGTAATATAACTCTAACATTACCCTTAAAGCCTTCAGTTCCCCCATCTATTAAAGGGATAATTGTGGATAACTCTAACTTATCATTATCATATTCTAACAAATTAAGCTATTTTTAAAAATAATTTAAATAAAAAGTAATATATTTACTATCATACTGTTAATCCATCTACGTGCTATTATGGAATCTAAGCCACATATTATAATATGATATTCTTAGTAAATATAAATAAAGTATAAAGTTTATATTTGATAATTCAATCTATACTTTTATAAAATTTTGTATCAAAATCTTGTATTTTATTAAAGTAAGGGGTAACATTACACCAAGGTTTACAATTTTTAATAAAATTAGCAGCAACCTTTGCTTTAGATTCACCAATATCCTTTTCTCTAAAGAATAATATTACTCTTTATATAAAAAATATTACCTAAATAAAAATTGTCTATTGAGGTTAGATAATTCTATTGTGTCCATATCAATTATATCAATATTTGTAAACCCTAGCAAACACTTATTCAAAAACATATTTTATCAAATATATAATAATAAACTAAATTTTTCAAAATTTCACATCCTAAACCACCAGCTCCAATGATTAATAATTTACATGTATTTTGAATAAATTCAAAATTCTATAAAATATTAAATAATTTAGAGAATAAACTAATTATACCTGATCCCCTGATATATAGTCTGGGTGGTTAAAGATTGTTCCATCTCCACTTTTAAAAAACTTTTTAATATTTTCAAAAATAATAGGTTCTTTCATTGATAAATCAAACCGAAGCTCTAATTAAATATAAATGTGCAAACATTTTTATTATTATTTTTACTCTTGATGCTCATTCAACATCTGGAAATTTAAAAAAATTTAAAATATGCATTAACAAGAAAACATTCATGTCGAATAACTATCGTGCTATTTTGGTATAGCGTTGTTTTGTTGAATGTCAATGATTTTTTAGTAACATAAATTATATTAAACTGGGGTTTAAAAATCTGGATCAATTTTTAAAATTAGCCATAAGATTATATCCAAAATAATATTACGTGAGCCAGGAATTTTGCTCATAACTGGCCTGGCAGGAACGTTTAGACCTCAATTCCTCGAGGTTTACATAATATTATTTTGGCCAAAATATTAATCAGGTTGCTTTTAACATTGACCTTTTTAAGTACACTACGTCATTGAAATAATGAAAGGGTGTAAGGTATTTTTAAAAATGCTATTAATTATCATTTAAATATAACTTGAGTATGTGGGGGGGGGGGGGGGTATTTTGGATTTCATTTCTTTCTTTTGATTGGAGGGTACTAGGAGTACGGTGGGGGCAATATCGTGTATTCATTGGCTAGGGGAGGGGGGGGGAGGTATATTTTATTATGCTTTGCTGTACATTTATATTTTAATCATTATAAAATTTATATAATTCAATATCCACTAAAAAAAATATTCAAAATTTACTACCTAGACCTATCAGATCCTCTAAACAATACCACTATCCAAATTATATGATTCTAGATTTTATCTTAATTTTGGAAAATTGTCAGTATCATTATTTTTTTTAAACGAAGATCAAGATCCTTTTGATAATATGATCCTTTTTAAAATATTTCACTTTTATATAAAAAGAAATAAAAAATTTTTTTTTAGAAATAAACTAAATCTAATTAAATATATTCTTAATAGAAAAATCGATTTATTAATTTCCCTCATATTTCATTTAAATTTTGATTACGAGATTTACTTAAACAGAGTTTTGGGATGTAAAGTTAGTGACTGAATAAACTACTTAATATATGGAATTAGTAGATTTCGATAATATTTTATCCATCAACATCCCCAATAACTTTAATCATTAAGCTATTAAAGTGTCAGCATTGCTCTTGGTATAATATTAACTAAACCATCTCAACGACCGATTCAAAAAAAAGGTTAAAATGATGAAAATTTAAAAGGATTTCAAGTTTAACATTAAATAAAAGTTAGGCCAGTTAACAGACAGAATATGTTATCCAAAATGGTGAATATTTTGGGAAAATGGGGAGGTATCTTATAGCTCTTTTATTACTAAGAATCTTTATGCTAGTCTAGCAAATAAATGGATAAGAATAAAATTGCTAAGAGGTATTCTAAAGAGGAGTAAATTAATCATTCATACCAAGATTTAAATTCTGGAATTAATTGGCCATAAGATTCATCATTATCATTTAAATAAAATTGAGCTAAATATTTAATTTTTTCAATATCAAGGTTTGATATATCTTCAGAATATTTCGGGGTAATTGTATTTGTAAATTGGATAGAGCCATTACTCTCATAAATCTCGGGAAATTCTTGGTCGATATTTTCCCTTAGTTTTCTAAGTTATAGTATATATTCACGCTGTATAAAAAATTTCTTAATTCATTCCAAGCAAAAAAATGATTGTTGAACCAATTATAATTTCTGAAGCTATTATTGAGGTTGGGTTATTATTTTTAATATTAAATTATAACATTTAAGATTTCTTTAGTTGGTAAAATTTTATCAAAAATTTTCTATAAATTTTCATGAGAAAAAATTTTAATAAATAAAAATTTTTAAAATTGAATACCTTGCAATAACAAAAAACTTATATATCTTTTCAAAAATAATTTATATTTTTGCTGTGCCCTCCTTCTTCCAATTTGGTTACGAGAGCCTGGATAAAAGATCTCCTTCACTTTATGAGGATAACCTATTAAACCAATGTTCCAACCGAGATTTAGGCTCAAATGACATTATATTAATCTGGTAAAGAATAGTTTATTAAAAGACATGCTTACTCATATTAACCACATCAAGATTCGAGGAATTCCATTGATAGTATGGATGAGAATGAAACTCTTTTATTTTTATCTCAGAGCGCTGATTTACTAATATTATTTTTTCAAGTGATAAAATCTGTTAATACTTTTGATACTTATTAAAGAAAGAAGTGGGGTTTAATTGACATTAATTTAGAAATATTTCATTATTATTAAATGAATAACTTAGAACATTCTAAATACATTTGAAGCCGTTTCTACTTTTAAAATTTAAATTGATTATGTTTTAGATACAAGATATTTAAAAATTTGTATCGTATATAAAATACTTAAAAAAATTTTTAAAAAAGGTATTGATACAAGCGATATTGCCCAACTCTGATTATATGTGTCATTTCATTTAAAAATTGATAAAACATTATTACAAAGTTTTATTAAATAAAGATATCATTTTATTAATATAAATATTGTTTTTTTTAAAAAAAGCTACGTATGTATATATAAATATACTATAATATTTGGAAGAATTTTTATTCAAATAAAATGCGTTATCTTTCTTTTTAAAAAATAAATACAATAAAACTGTGGGAGTATGTATGCATAGAAATAAGAATTGAGATTTCTAAAAAATTATTGTAATAAACATAATGAACCAATCAAATTCATCCGTGTATTCAAATTAAAATGCTATTATTTGTTAACAAACCCATTATATTCATTATGTATATAATCGTTGCTGTTAGTTTCTAGATGTTGCAATTTACATGACAGAGGATAGATGGGGTTTTTTTGAAATAATTCTTTATTGGCCTTGTTGATAGATGGATAATTGATGGTGTTCATTTTGGTTTTAGTTTTAATAGCTGGGTAAATGTCTTGAAGATAAATTAAATATATATTTAAATATAATTTATTTCTATCATTAATATTTCGGCAACGTCCTAAAAAGTTAATCTAAAAAAATAATTTAAACGTTCAAAAATTAAACCTTTTGCTGAAAAAATATTTTAAGCTTACTGACGTGACTGATTTATGGTGATCTGATGGTATAATTATGCTTATATAGAAGAGACCTGCTGAGGCAAAAATCCGGACCAAGATTTTTCTGAATTTTTTTTTTGGCCTGGTCTGAATTTGCCCGATGAATATTTTTTTTAATTTTCGTACTTTGAATAATTTTTAATTTTGGCTGTATTTAGCAAATAATAGAGGGAAAATTAAAAATATGTGAAATGCGTAGTAAAATTAATATTAAATATACCAATTAAAATATGATTTTCCCAACCGAATAATTTATATACATATATATAACGGCAAGGTCAGAATTTTTAAAAACCATTTTGTTGTTCTGGGTTTGGAGATCTCTGATATCTTTCTTACTTTCTAATATAATGTTTGAAAAAAAATTGTTTTTGTTTACAGTGTTTATTAGAGATATCGTAGCAAGATGTGTAAACGGATATATTATTGTCGTAGTTTTTCAAATAGGTGTCGTCTTTGTCATTCATAAGACTCGTGTAGTAATTGTTGTCATTGGAATAGTTCATACTTTTACTGCTTAACTTATTTTTACCATATTTCTTCTCATTTTTGGTATAATCATATTCATAATCGTTTAAATTATTGCTATTTTTGTAATATGTGAGATCATTTTTGATAGGTTTTGGTGTAATTGGGTTGTTATCGCCATTCAAAACATCCCCGATTACCCAAGGGTGCACTAGCGCCTCTCTAGGAGTCATCCTTTCTTTGGGATTCCACCTATAATAATTCAAATAATTTAAAAATTATCTCCAAAATTTAGGAAAAATAAAATTTTTTTAAAATAAATAATTCAAAACGGGGTTACCTAAAACATTTGTACAGAAAATCGATAAACAAGTAATCGTCACACTTCAAAGCGTTGGAAAGATTTTTACTGTTAGGTAATCTCTGTCCCCTTTTGGTGGCATATCGTAGATTACTTTTTGAATCTAAATTCATGTTATCATTTAAATATACATTTAAAATTAACAAAAAAGTAAACTATGAAGTTTTAACTTATAATTAAAAAAAAATTAATATAATGGGCCTTTATAATTTAAAATTCGATTTATATATTTAATATCGACTAACCGAAAAATTCATTCCATCTTTCACAAGAGTAATTCATTTCCTTAGGTGGCAATCCCAACATTTCAACGAAACAGGATAATTGATCCTTTTCGTCTTCCCCGGGAAATATGGGAAATCCGGTATACAATTCTGCCGCCACGCAACCCAAAGACCAAATATCAATGGCAGTTGTGTATTTCGAAGTCCCTAAAATGACTTCTGGAGATCGATAAAAACGACTTTGGATGTACGTGTAAACTTAATTATTTTAGGATTTAATTTTTGTTTTGATATAGTTTTTCACATTTTGATAAAAATGAAATAAATTAAAATTAGGTATACTTTTTAAATAAAATTTTTTTTTGCCTCGCCCACTTCTGGTTCTTATTTAATTAAAATTATTTATACAGTGTTGACCAGATTTGATGAAATATATTTCCATATTAATTTCTATGAAAATAAAATTATTTGACTTGCAAAAAATTGTTACTTATTAATTTTTATAAGTTAAATAATTTCATTTACAAACGAATTAAAAAGTAAGGAAATGTTTTAAATTAAAACAACAAATGTACAAAATAGAAATGTTTGTAAAATACATAAGCCGACAAACATAAATTATTCCTTATACGAAAAAAATAATGTGAAGGATTTCATTTATGATAAATAAGAAAAAGAGAGAAGGGAAAAAAAGAAATTTTTTAAAATTCATTTACAATAAATATTTTTATGAAAAATCATTATCACAAAAAAAACTTTGTTCATTTTCATAACAGCTCGATCCAAAATCGATAATTTTGATATCAAATTTAGTGTGAGGTTTGACCAGAATATTTTCGGGTTTGAAATCACAATGAATGATCCTATGTTTACGGAGCGTCGATAAACATTTTAGGAGAGATCGGGTTATATCCTTGACAAGGTCCAATCGAAAACCTCGAAAATTTGTCTTCTTTAACATGTCATATAGACTGGGCCTGTAAAATACAAATTGAAAGAGAAATTAATGAGATTAGGGATTGTAGATACAGATGTTTAAGGGACCATTCGATATCAACCTATTGAATTTTTAACTCTCGAGATGTAACTTGTTATTAAATAATATGAGAGGTAATATGAGGGATTTCATACCCCCCCCCCCACACACACACTTTTAATTGGATATATATCATATCACATCTTAATAGTAGTATCTAAATTTAGTCACACTTTTGCGAAAAATAACTAATCACTTTTTTATAAAAAAAATATAACTAGCTACATTTTAGAATGTAACGGTAATAATAATTGGTTACTTTTCAAGCTACTATTTTAAAATGAAATAGACAAATAAACTTTTATATATATATAAAAAGATTTTTTAAAGTCATTATCATTCATTAAAACATATAAAATATTTATTGTTACACGCGTGGGTAGTGTTGTTAAAAAGTCCGAATAAGGTTATAACCAAAATAACATTATGTAAGTCTAAAGATTTTGCTCATTGCTGGCAGAAATGCTTGGACATCTATTTGTCAAATCTCGATACTTACATAATATTAGTTTAGCTAAAATCTTAATCGGGCAGTTTTGAAAAATTGACCCAAATGGGACTTTTTAACAATACTATGTGTGGGTAATAAAGATATTTTAATAAATTCATTTTTTTATACCCTAATAATTCAAAAAGGATGCACAAATGATGACGAAAGTAAAAATGATCCATCATTTTAACCGTTTGATCTAGATTACTTGAATATAAAGAATTCTGTAGATTATTCAAAAGTTTTATTTCGGTCAGAGCTTGTTGGTGAAATCTGTAGAGAAAAAAATATATATAACTTAATTTATAGATTGGAATGCACTAGTGAGTATAAAACCATTTGAACTCTCAAGTAGGTAAACTTTAACATATATATTCAAAGTCGGCAAGGCCCGGTGCAGCTAAGGGATTTTTAGAACGAGCAAAAAAGCCCTTTCCATAAATTTTTCACGTGATCTCTTATGACACAAATTATATAGCTAATTAATGATTTATTATGGTTAGTTTCTTGAAACAAAACTAATTTATACAAAATAGTAAATCTATAAAAAAAAAAGAAAATGTTAAAATATTATCCAAACGTTTTTATTTTTATATATAACCTTTTCTTATTCCGTATTATTTTTAAAGCCATATATTTTTGATCTTTGTGATCGTAAGCTTTGACAACTTGTGAAAAAGATCCTTGCCCTAAAATATCAATTATTTCGTATCGATACGCAATGTGGTCTCCGACAACCTCGAAAAAATAAAATAAGAATAATTATTTTTTTTAATTTAAATTCTGAATACATTAAATTTAATAAAAGAAAATAAGAGGCCTGTCTCTAGGTCTACTAAACATTCACTACAATATGACCGAATTTGTTTTAAAGATAATCTCAAGCTTTAAACGTTTTGATTTCGGGAAAATATTTTTTTTGCAGAGGCTTCTACCACGGAGGACGTGGGAGATGACTTAAGATCGCCATTTAAATTGGAGAGGGTAAGTAGTTATGGAAAAACCATCATTTTAATAAAATTGGAGGGCAGTAGTGGAGTAATTTAGAGGGGTGGGGTAGTAAATTGCAATTACTTGGGGGGGGGGGGGATTGTAAAAATTTCTATATATAAGCGATTTATACAACTTCGGGAACATTTATCTAAAATGCGACATTTCAAAAGGGGAAAATTTTTAAATATATCTTTTTCGCGAATATGAAAATTAATAATAAATATAATTATAATTGAGGAAATGCACGAACACGAATCAAAATATAACTGTCTTTATTCTATTGAAATGTTCCGATCCCGCTTTTCTAGCCAAGTCAAGCTTTCGTATTATTTTTAATTTTTATATAAGCGGTCTCAAAAGACGCTTATCTGGGAAGAGCGCGTTTACTTATGTACCCCATTCCGATCTTTCCTGTTCCAGTAACATTGTAATGGAATGTATACTTATTCTTTTAAATTTATAATATTCACAAACGTTTTGATTAATATTATATTATAAATAACAAATATCTTTTAAAAATTTATTATTCTAGCATTTAAGCCATTTTTAGTCCAAAAATCTTCAATTTGTTTTGTTATAATCAATTATGTAAAAATAAAATTATTGTCATTTTGGTTTTTTTTAAAAAAAAATACGCGCCCCAAATATTCTATACCAGAATAGGATCCGTCCAAAGTACGCAATATCAGACGAGATGGCATTCCAACCCGGTCGTTTAGCCATCCATTCGTTTTCCCTTTTTATGAATTCAATTTCGGTTATAAATTCACCTTTTGAATTTAACCAGTTCTCCCATCCCCCCATTATAGATCAATTCTAATAAATAATTGATTGAAGATTATATTATTAATTTATTAAAAGCAAATCAAAAATTAAGGTAAACAATTTTTTGGAATACTTTTCAAATAAAGACAGATGATTTTATTATCACATTCATATATTTGTATGCATTTTGGCAACTGTATATTAAAAGAAAATTAGAACATGGCTTGGCTAGACAATATTTATGGCTCATATATACAATTTGTATGGCAATGTACAATTTTTTTATCTTTGTTTTTTTTATCAAAGATAATATGTAAGTTCATCTTTAATGTTTAATGAAGTCAAAATTCAAAATAAAAAAAGATAGCTTAAAAAGAGCAATCCACAAATTAACAATTTTTTCTAATAAATATAATATGTAAATTATTTATAAGAAAGATTATCTATTACAATTTTTTTGTACTAAAAAAGTGGATTGGATAAAGAAACTAGTAGACCACATTTTTTTTTGTACAAAATAAAAATACGCCAAAAGAAAAAAATATTTTACATAAATTATTATAGGATTTAAATTATATATATATAATATTTATTAAAACCATAAGGACAAATATTTCTGATTGAGATTATATGTATAATTAATAATTATACTATATAAAAAGTATATTTAAAACGTTTCGAACAGTTTTTTAAGATATAGAAGGAGTATAATGATATTGCTGAGACCAATTTTTTAGGCTCGGCTTAGATTTCAAAAGATTTTCCACTATTTTCCAGCCCGAACAATTTTTCAAGAATTTTTTGGCGCTAGGACCCACTCAAGCACGAATTTTAAAAATCATCATTTTAGGAACTGTGACAGGCTTATATTATATATAAAGCCCACTTATAAAAGTTCCCCTTAAATATCTGATCCGTGGTGTCTAGTAATTAAAACGTTTAGGGTATTTCCTAATTCGACTTATTACCCGGCTATTTAGCCTGTTATATAGCTTCGACTAAATAGCCTAAAAAGTATGAGAAAAAAAAAAGAATAAAACGAAAAAAATAGGAAAAAGCTGTTTAGTCTAAGTATCAAACAATATTTAAATAAACTTACAATTTTATATAGCCCCTCCTTATCCGTGTGATTCGGGTTCAAATATGACTCTGTATCAGTATTAGTAGTGTATTTATTATTAGTAGTATTGTTGTTATTATTATTATCATCATTATCATCGTTAAAACAACTAGTGGCCTTTTTATTGCTTTTGAAATCATAGTTCATATTCGGAATTTCTTTCTCGTCGTACCCGGAATCGAGAGAGGCGCCCAAGGTAGTCGATGATCTCAGGGGCGTTTGCTTTTTGTTCACGTGTCCAAGGTACCAAACTTCATCGTATTTCAAAATCTCCTTGTGCTCGAAGGGTGTCAAATGATGAGCGAACAACTTCAAGACCTCTAAAATTATATTAAAATTATTAATAGATTTCTTTTATAAAGTAAAATTTTATGGAGTTATTATTGAACAGCTATGATTTTTTAAAAACGGCTACCAAAAATTTAAGCCAAAAAATATTAAGCCAGCCTGGATATACTCATATATGGCAGAAAGGTTTAGACCTATTAGCGAAATCTCGAGGCTTACTTATAGGCTAAATTGAGCCGCTTAACAACATAGATGAAGTTACATAAATTAGTTACTCTATATGTTTTCTTCCTAATTTTTAAAATATATGAGAAAGGAGATTTGGATAACTATATAAAAATAAATAATTTAGATCAAAACTAACCAGACCTATGATCATTCCGACCCACCAGATACTTATCACTTATCAACAGTAGAGATTAATATTTCTAAAATACAATCTTATATAATAAGCACTTAGCAAATGTTTAAATTAGTGCTAGTTGGGCTGAATATTTAAAATGGGTTAATATTTAAATATAATTTAAACTTCAAGATATTGATACAAAATCGTATCGATTTCTGTAGAATGTTAAGAATATAAGTGTTATCGTAAAAAATTCATGATCCTTTTAATAAAAATAATAAATATTATGAGTGCTCAATATTTATTGACTTTTTTAAAAAAATCCATTTCTAATTACTATTTAAATGTTTATATTAAAAATATGGTAAAAATTTTATCGATTTGTACTTCATTAAAATTTTATAAGTATTTCAAGTTAAATAAAAAAAGAAGAAGAAATATAATGATTTAAAAAATTCACAACCTCAAAGTATCTAATTACTCAGAAATTTGAAAACGTACACACACATATCTTATAATTAAGGGTGTTAGATTAAGATAAAACAAAATTCTCAACTCCACTTTTGGTTGATATTAATTTTTTGAAAGAAAGAAATATACCTTTAGGAGAATAGGGATAAGATCCCGATCGTCTGATGTACGGTTTAGGATCACCGGATGATGAGAATTTATTGAGGTCATCGTAATTTTTACTATTATAGGATTCGTAATTGGGCGCGGTTGTTAAAATGCCACTCGGACTCAATTTTCTTTCTTTGACGACAGGTTTATTTTCCCGATCGTGGATTGAATATAAATCCGATTTTTTTTTCAGACCTAACATTCGCCTATAATTATAGTCATTCTTGTTGAGCGAAAAAGTTGTACTGTCGCACACCGAAGTTTTTTTTTGATTTAATAAAGATGGTATCGAAAACTTGTTATTACTCCCCATTCGGGTGATGAGGGGGTCGATTTGATAATCCCCTTTATTTTTACTTAGAAATTTATCCTTTTCCAATATCTTGGTCAGGGTCAAATGGCTAATGTCCGGCACGAGTTCCTGATTAGAGCCCTTGCCAGATAACCGCTTTATGATATCGGCGTTTTCCGATTTATCGCGAGAAGCATTTGCTGGTTGATAGTAGTTGGTAGCTCTCTTGGAAAATTTCGATAAAGTTTTTGGTGAGGTCTTTTTTATATTTTTAAAAAAAAATATATATAAATATTTTTATAGGATTCAATCAATTAATTAGAATAATATGGTTAGTTATAGCAAAAAACTTGTGTGCCAAAATGGATTGATAATAGGCTAATTTCTTTGTTTTTTAAACAAAGAAGAAGCTACTAAAATAATCTCAAATTCTTATTATATTAGTTTTGGAAAGAGATAGAAACATTTAATCGAGGACACGTATTATAAAATAACGAAGTATATAATATAGTGTATTTGGGGAAATACGAGATTAAAAAAATATATTTTTTCAAAAATTTTGATATTATAATTGTTGATCCAGTAAGTTGCACATTGTATAATAAAAGAATTTATAAAAAAGTATTTTTGAAATTATATATATTATCAAATAATATATTTTTTTGTTTTTATCAGTCGGTTTTATTATTACTATGATAAAATGAAAAAAATATGTATATTTAAATAGCATTTATTAACAAGTCAACCGAATGAGATATTTTCTGTGAATAAATTTGAACTTGTTTCAAATCAATTAATTTTATGATATATAAAATTTTTCTTTTGTGAGACCTCTGTCACATATCAATTTTTGCCAGTGGCTTGCAACATGTTTTCCGACATCCCGCCTTATACGCTTATGCGGAATTCATTTCCGCAAAATCAAATTTTCCAAAATTAAATGCCCTCAGCAAATAGTTTAAAATGAAATATTTCGAATCGCCATGGTAGGATCCGGGATTATTGCTTATTCCAATATATACTATACCCATTTTGTAAAAAATATAAACTACCTCTAACCCGGTTAAACCCTAACATTTTTTATACGCATTTTATATTTTTTAGATAAAAAAAAAGTCTCATGACAAACCACATAAAATATAAAGTATAAATAGCGACACGATACCATGTTAATATCGATAGAAATAAATATGAAAAATTATTAGAAAATTTTGCAATCAAAGCTACAAATTATATATGGATCTAAATTTAAAAAAAAATTTACATCGTTCTATCTATACGTATTTTTCTTACATGTTACCTGGGTGGCTTATTACATATAAAATTTAAGTAATAATGCTAATTGAGATTGATAATGGTATGACACCTTTTGCGATGCTACAAATACCATCCTAAACTACTACTTTTGATATATTTTTTAAAAATGTAATTATTATGTTAAATGACATATAACATTTATATACACAATAAATTACATATTTAACATTTATAAAACGGTTATGCCATTCTTTTTAAATACGAAAATAGCCTGAATATAAAATAATTTATTCGTTTTATTATTATAATTATTATGTTATCAAAAAACATACCTAATTTTGTATAAAATTAAAAAAGATTTATCTTATTCCTCACAGTTATAGTATAAATGTCAGTGGTATTTCTGAAGGAGGCATCAGTGTGATAAGCAGTGATCTGCATAGGGCCCATTTTTTGAAAAAAATTTTATTCTGCCCGACCCGATCCCGAACGAAGATTTTTTTTATTTGTCCCAATATGACCCGAAATAGAGATTATTTGTCCGCCAAGCCCGGATTTATTTAAATATAGAAAAATTTAATTTTTTTTATCGTAAAATAAATATTCCACAAATAAAAAAATATTAGCGCCTTGTTTCTTGCAAGAATACTAAAATATATCAATGTGTCTTATGTAATAATTGTTGCAGTTTTACTTTACAAAAAAAATGCATTATGCAAATTGTAAACAAAAATAATGTTTTATTAAAATATCCCCGTCTATGTAAATGAGAAAAAAACGCGTGAGATTTGTAGATTTTTTCATACTTTAACAGTTTTAACAAGTGGGATGTAGAACTTTTTATTATTCGCTAGGGAGACTATGTAAATGTTGATTAAAGAAAAAGGATATATAATGGAGAAATTATGAGGCGGAAAAGGGATTATTATTTTAACTAAAATTTACTTTTAATTTTTTAATTTTATTTTATTTTTTTTATGATGTTTACTATTATAATTTTGAATAAAGAATTAAAGTTGATTTTATGATTTCGTGATTCCTAATTATTATTAATTTCCTTTTTATATATATATTTGTTTTCTATTTTTATATTTAGGTTTTGATGCACAATGACAAGTTTGTCGTTGTGACAATGGTGCCGAAGAGCGGAGGAGACCGGCCCTTAACAACCTTCAGTCTGTGACCGGTGGGACAACAAGGAGATGTGTCAAACTGTATTCTAATACAAAAAAAAAAAATTCCAGAAGAACGTAAGAAAAATATGTAAATAAAGATGAAAAGGAAAAATTATGTTGTTAAGATTATGTTTATGTAGGAATATAAAATCTAAAATTAAAGACATTAGGAATTTTATATTTAGAAGTTACTGGTAAACTAAAAACCAATGGAATTTTGAAACTAATAAAGACTATGATATTTTAGATTTTAGAATTATTAGCAAGTGATCATTAGAAATAACTTTGACAAAGAAATAGAAACATAAATTGCGAAAGTTAATATTTAACTAATAGGTTGCTGAGATATAATAATTAAAAAATTCGGTGAATAAGATTAGAATATAACTTTATTGTTAGGAAATAGTTGATTTTATTCTTATTGAAGATTTACGTTTAACTTTTATTTTAAGGGCTGCGAGAGATAAAACAGCCTCAAGGATTAATGTGAATTAGTATATTAGGTTGTAGATTAACCAAAAAATCTTCATAGAGAGAATCGGCTTTTCGTCATTAGAAAATTTATGCCGCAATCGAGCTCAATTTGAGATCGGATATTTATTTTTTTGAATCATAAATAAGATTTGAGATCAATTATGCAACATTATTCTAATAATAACAGAAAGAAAAACATGCGTTAGAAATATACATATCAGTTTTCAACAACGGTTGTGCGAAAAATTATAATGATTAGAGTTCATAAGTTATTCAAAGACGTGGGGTGAAAGCCATAGTGATTAGAATTAAGAGGTTGTTCATAAACGTAAGTATGAAAACTTTTATGATTAGGTCATTGATTTCTCAACAACGTATGTATGAAAAGAGATTTATATATTTCAGCAGTTTTTTTTTAAAAAAAAAAACTTGAGTAAAAGAAAGATTTTGATATATAGTAGATAAGTATTTTTAGATATAAATTTAGGATAGACATGGCTGAAAAGAAGATAGGATCAATAGCTAAAGGATGAGTACAAGTATATTTTTCAATGGAAATATGGGTCTAGGCTTCATTAAGGGGAAAGGGGTGATAGAATTTGATATATTTATATAATTTATTATAGATATTTTTGCTACGTATTATAAATTTAAGATTTAGTATAATTTACACCATTTATTAAAGGCAGAATTAGTTTAGAGGAGATAAATGTAGACATTAGGATAAAGTTGGTATATGTATATATTTTATTAGTATATGATTAGATAGTTTATGTTGTAGAATAAATATAAAAAGTGATAAAATATTTCAGAAGTTATTTAAATAGATTATTTTAGGTAGAAGTAGATTAGATGTGATTACCTGAAACCTTAAGATTAAGTCGATATCTCAGCAAAGGCAGACTGTCGTAGAAGACCCGGAAGTCTAAAAGATAGATACGATTACAAGAATTAGAGGCAGCAACCAATCAATTACAAGAAAAAGTAGAAAACAAGCGATTTGATAAGATGGTCAAGACGTTATGCTGCAATCGTTAATCGCGGACCAATAATAGCCAATTATTACCGAGACTTTAGTCTAAGATACGAAAATCAACAATCATAGGAACAAGAATTCGTGAAAACCATCGTTTATCGCAGACCAATCGTTTATCGAGATAAAAGGCTAATCGTGGATTACAAGAGAATGATAGAAAACAAGTTACGATGAAACTGGATGGCATCGATAATCGTTCATCAAGCGTGGATCGTGGAAAACAAGCCTTTATCAAGTTCGTCAGTGGCCTACAGAGATAAAAAGCTGATCGTTTCACAGGGTGACAAGCGACAGATAGAATTCAAAAATTTCAAGCGACAAAGCCTTCGTTAGAACTTAGAAGACAGCAAAAATTAAGAAGAATAAGTCGAGATCGAAAGAAGATGGATTATTCGCAGATTGGTGGGTCTAACTTAAGTGGAAGGGTGTTGCAGTTTTACTTTACAAAAAAAATGCATTATGCAAATTGTAAACAAAAATAATGTTTTATTAAAATATCCCCGTCTATGTAAATGAGAAAAAAACGCGTGAGATTTGTAGATTTTTTCATACTTTAACAGTTTTAACAAGTGGGATGTAGAACTTTTTATTATTCGCTAGGGAGACTATGTAAATGTTGATTAAAGAAAAAGGATATATAATGGAGAAATTATGAGGCGGAAAAGGGATTATTATTTTAACTAAAATTTACTTTTAATTTTTTAATTTTATTTTATTTTTTTATGATTTTTACTATTATAATTTTGAATAAAGAATTAAAGTTGATTTTATGATTTCGTGATTCCTAATTATTATTAATTTCCTTTTTATATATATATTTGTTTTCTATTTTTATATTTAGGTTTTGATGCACAATGACAATCTTGTCGTTGTGACAATAATCTTATATAAAAATTTAAGCCCAATCCGGTCAGGCCTGATTTTTTTAAAAAGCATTAGGCTCGAACCAGCCTAAACCGAAATTACTCTTTAAAAAATAGGCTAGGGCCGTCATTTGCAGATCGCTGAAAGCACTCTCTAAATAAAGAACTATGACGTGAAATCTCTCACCATTAAAAAGTGTTCTATATGGGCGATAAGAGGATTTTTTAACTGACAGTCGGTCAAAATCCAATAATTATATATTAGTAATAGCTAGATTTTTAATTGATTCGATCTTTATATACGACAATTTTTAGATCAAATTATCCTTTCTAATTCGACAATCTTATATAACCTAGAAACTAGAATAATATATATTTTTTTTAGAAAAATTAATAGTGACCCACTTCTAAAAAACATTATTTTTATAAAAATTTTTAATCTAATAGAGATAA